GGTAATAGTATCTGATGTTGTTGTTTTTTATTTAAAAAAATGTTTCGACCGTACACCTTTGTATGGCCCCCCAGTGGCACAGCGGTATGTCTGAGGACTTATACTGCTAGAAACCGTGATGGGCAGAGCACAGATAGCCCTTTATGTAACTTTGTGCCTGACAAACAACAACAACCTTTGTATGCTTTATTCTGCTGTTGATGCGGCCTTTCGCTCAAAACCAGAATTCACCAGGTCGGTTGATCATACAAAACACATTAGACTCGTTCAAAACGCTGGTTACCTTACTTGTTCGTAAGACATCAATTATTACAACAAATAACGCCTTATACTGGTGTATTGTCAGGATGCTATCATGTTCTTCTCCCTAAAAACTGATATGGCCAGTAAAAAAAGGTTTAGTGAAATGTATTACACAGGTCTGCGAATTTAAAATTCATAAAACTTGTGTTACGTATTACAATTTTCCTGGACGAGTCTCCAATTTATTACGTAACGTATTATAATTTCGAATCGCCTGAAACTGAGTTAAATGATAATTTAGATTTAGAAATTAAATAAATTTCGATATATATCCAAATTATGATACTTACCAACAAGAGTGATACACACAGTTTTTTTAATACAAATATATTTTAATATACAAACAATAACACAATTTACAATAACGGTTATTACAAATAATGATCTATGTACAAAAGTTTTACAAACTTACAAACAATATTTAGTCCTCTATCTGGTCTGGTACTTCCTTGATATCTTATCGAGGGTTCACGATGAGCGAATTAATTTTGAGTTAATGTAGATACAATTCACTTAAGAAGGAGCTAGCTAGCTCTGTGTTGTTCGTTCTTCGCCAGTTACACGCCGAAATATTCCCCGCAGAAGTTATATAATGTTTTCGTAAAAATACTAATGTCCGATGTAAATCTGTTGAAGTTAAATGGTTTGTAATATTCGAAACCTATAACCGTTCCTGGTCAAATATCTGAAGTTCCCAATTAATAAACGTTATAACAATCACAGTTATAGCTTCCGAGGTTTCTAGTATACCAACTATAGCAAACTAATAATATATACTGTCTTTTGGCGCGGCGTGTTGGTTATATTTATAGGCGTGCGGGAAGTTGCTCGAAATTTCAGCTTACGTAATAATATAAACGATACGCCAGTGTTTACGTACTCACATATATTGTTAATTCTGTTAATTCAAAACAAGACACCGTAGGTAGGTTTTTCCATAGGTTCAGTGTATTTGTTCACGCGCGAGATATGGCGCAACGCATCCTATTACACTAGCGAGACCCTACTGTATAGTAAATTTATAATATTTGTTTAATTTTACTGTTTGTTTGTAATTAATCACAAAGCTGCACAATGCTCTGCCCTCCGCGGGTATCAAAACCCAAATTTAAGTGGAATGCCGCCACCATGGTAAGCAGACTTTTTACAAAATAAATTTATAAGATATCGACTGAAATAATAATTTCGATGGAAAATTTACTGGTTTACTTTAGTAATCTAATTACACGGTCGAACTTTTCACGTATAACGTTTTACTTAATAGCGTCATTTCAATAAACCGGTTCTCAGATTGTACATAAGATTCCATCTTAATCTCTAATATATTTAATACCACGAAAAGAAAATTCAAATCACGTAGTCGCCTCTTGCGGTGTTCTTTTTGTTTTGTTTTGTCGTTGTTTAACTTCTTTCCCTAACGAACGCAGACCGCCCATTCTATGGCAACAGTTTCGCCATCTAACCTTGTAAATATATTATGTATAGGGTTGGGCAGAAATCACGTCCCTGTTGAATAAAAGCGGTTTCTATTTGTATTTCCTTTATTATAAACAACCCTATCATAAAGAAGACACAACAAGAAATAACACGTAGAAGTGAACAAAGAACTAAATCATGGATAAGGTAGCAAGTTAGTCACATATCTTGCGTCCATTGGGACGTGACTTTTTCCCAATCCTATATAACACAAGCTTTTTAAAACAGAACTTGATGTTGGAGAAATTTGATCTAGTTCCATAGATCGATATCTCTGTAAGTGATAGAAAAAACATTAATATTATTTTCGAAGTCTGCGTAGCTGAATTATGGAAAATACGTTATTAAAACCAGAACAACTGTGACGGATTTACTATAATATACCTATTTTAATATCGATGTTTGTTTAAATTAAATTTATATATAGAAATGTACATAGCTTATACTGTTAAATCTGTATTACGAAATTCCCGCCTATTCACTAAAGGGTCGCGGGTTCGAATCCCCGTCCCACCAAACATGCTCGCCCTTTCAGCCGTGGGGGCGTTATAACGTTACGGTCAATCCCACTATTCGTTGGTAAAAGGTTAGCCCAAGAGTTGGCGGTGGGTGGTGATGACTAGCTGCCTTCCCGCTAGTCTTACACTGCTAAATTAGGGACGGCTAGCGCAGATAGCCCTCGTGTAGCTTTGCGTGAAATTCAAAACAAAACAAATCATGGTGTCATTAGAACGACAGTGATAGGTGCAACACACTATTTATTAAACAGCCTGACATATGCATTAAGCACCTAGAGGAGGAAATAAAATAGTTTGCGACAAGAAAAGCTTCAAAACAGACGGTAAGGACCGCAAAGAAGAAAGTTCCTTTAAAAAGTTTAACTAGGTATAGAAGATGAGTCATCAATAAAGTAAGTTTATTTAATTTTCATGTTTTTAGCCGCTTTTAGCTGAAAGCTCCGTCATCTCTTGACCGATTTCAGATCTAATTACAGTTTCGGACTCAGGAGGTTAAACCCTTTCGATTGAAGAATTATCTGACCATGTCCAAGGTCTCGCAGATTAATTTATCCTAAAAGAATTTCAATTTGAGGGTAGGCTGGTAGAGATCCTGATGAGTAATAAAATCGAATCGGGTATACGCGCGCCCCAGGCTTCGTATTTCTGGCGCACAAAAATATAGCTAATAAAAGGAAAAAAAAAAAGATATAATAGATTAATTTACTCTAATCCCACCTAAAAGAGGATTGAGTATTTCCTATTGTTTTAGTGATTCTTTTATGTGGTAATTTTCTGTAAACTTTTTTTTTTTTCTATTTCCGCGGCAAAAACGTTCCCGCATGAGCGGGACTCGGCTAGCGTTTTAAAAATACATGTTCTCTATTTAAACCTCGTGCATTATTGGGACGTGTACAAAACATTCGCGCACTTTACTGAACTACATACTTGATATTTCACACATAGTAACTTTAAATGTAATAACTTTACATTTGAGCTAATTATAGAAACTATTGTCACCTGGCGAAGATGAGGCTCTAACGTCGCTGAGTTATATCCTAAGAACACCAAAGTTGTTGTGATAAGAAGCCCATCAAGAAGTACTCCGGTATCAGCTAAAAATTTGAACATGTTGCCCGACTTCGGCTTTTCATTGCGATCTATAAGAAAGGAAGAAGCACATTGCTAGAATGATTCATATTTCCAAGTACGTTAAGATGTTTTCTTTAGAATTACCTATTTATTTTACTTATTGACAAATATTTCTTTTCGATCTCAAGTCTGAAGTACGTAGTTTAACCCTTTGATTGCGGCTGCTTTCTACGCGCGTGGAATTTTTGCGACCGTAAACTTTGTACAGCACACTTGCATTCAACTGCTGGAGGCGGACCCGATCCCACAAGATGAATCAGCAGCCAATGGTATAAGGCCTTCTTAGAAGTGAATGAACACACTCACGTGGTGATAAGTGTCTTTTGGTGTCAATTTCGTATAGCTTACATGAAGGATCCGGATCACGAAACGAAACTTTCTCTTAGTGTCCGATTCTTTCATTTTGTATTGTAAATAATTTCAAGTGCAACTGTACATTTATTTTTATCACTGAGTGCACCTACAGGTGAGACCTGATTTGCTTCTAACTTCCTATTTGTTACTTGTACTTTTCTTTGTATGTTTTTCTTAACTAATGCACATATCCCTTCATAAATCAAATGTCACACAGACACAACAGCTCAATTAATACTAGGAGGGCGTTAAAACTTGATTTATTGTTCTTTTTATGGTAATACAAAAAATTATAAACAACAAAAATGGTGAAACTTGTAAATGTTGAATCAAACGGCAAACTTACAAACAAACAAAAATATATGAAATTTTAATTATTTAAATCTCTTTTATCAACAGTTTATCGTCGTAAGATTTTAAAAAATGAATTAAGTAATACAGCATATAACTGTTGGCAAAACGTGAAGCAAGTACAAGGTTCTTACCAGGCCGTGGAAGAATAAATATGGAACAAACCTCCACAAAAAGTTGGGTCGCCCCAAGTACAACAAATGGAAGTGGGTATCCTCCAGCCTAAACATAAAAAAAAAACGAATTAAGGACATATAAAGTGGTAAAACAATGAATGTTTTAGTCGAAGAAACTACAGTACATTTTAACTGATACCCTACCATTAATTTACAAATAATATTTACTCACAGTAATATACGTATGTAGAATGACAAATTATATTTGTTTGTTTGTTTTATATTAATCACAAAGCTACATAATGAGCAAAGCCACATTGGGCTATCTGCTGTGTTCACCGCAGAGAATCGAACCTTGGATTTTAGCGATGTAAATCTGTAGACTTGCCGGGAGACAGAGGTCAGAGCGCGTAGTCTTGTCTAGTATAGTATTGTTACGTCT